AAATTAGCCGGGCCTGATGGCGGCCACCTGTAGTCCCAGCCACTCGGGAGACTGAAGAAATCTTTCTTTCTTTTCTTTTCTTTTTTTTTTTTTAACCTGCATTTCATTTTGAGACAGAGTCTTGCTCTGTTGCCCAGATTGGAGTGCAGTGTCATGATCATGGCCCACTGCAACCTCAACCTCCTGGGTTCAAGTAATTCTTCTGCTTCAGCCTCTTGAGTAGCTGGGACCACTGATGTGTGCCGCCACGGCCGGCTAATTTTTTTTACTTTAAATTTTTTTTGTAGACACAGGACCTTTCTGTGTTGCCCAGACTGGTCTTGATCTCCAGGGCCCAACTGGCCCTCTGGCCTCAGCCTGCCAAAGTATTGGACTGCAGGTGTGAGCCACTGTGCCTGGCCAACACTTGTAAGCTTTAGGAGTTGATCAGTCACAACATACTGTTCAGATTTTCTTTTTTAAGGAAACCACTTAATTTGTTACTTTATATTATAAAACACTTCATAAGCAGTTAGATTTTATCAGCTAATCTTATCCTGTAGCATGTTGAACATCAAATACATGTGCTTAATTCTCTCTGGAGTTACCTCAAAATCTGCAAACATGCAACCATCCTTCCCCCCATACTCTCCTATCTTATTTACTATCTTTAGTCTAACGGTGCTTAATTCTTTTCCATGAGGTATGTGCTCTGAATAATGACCTGTTAGTTATCTAAAATGGATTCCCTGGCATAAGTGAAAACTTTCAGGTTGTACAGTTTCCTTATTCTATGTTCTAACGGTTAAGGTGCTTATGCTAGGACATGTGGTTCACTGTGAATGTGACATACCTGTGTGTAATCTAGTCAATGTATAGAACGTTCACCACGAATACAACATATGGTGCCACCACTTGCTGTAGCTTCTCTGTGTCAGTGTAAATACTTACCTACTCTTAGGATTAAATAATATATACTCGCAAAATGCCTAGGATGATATGCATGTGTCTGGTACTGAGTACTTAAAAAATACTAGCTATTCCTTCTTGGAGCTGTTCAGGCAGCATGTACATAAATGAAAACCTAGTCAAGGAAAGAGAAAAAAACTCACAACATTCTCATTATTGTTCAAATTTGACTGGTCCCTTGAAAAAGAGTGCAAATACCATGGGATAAGAACTTATACCTAAAAATATTTTGAATACAGACACTTGATGTCAGAGAAGGTATTCAGGAAGATCTAGTTTAAGGTTTCTTAATCTGCAATCTACAAATCTCTGGAAAGCGTAGGCAGTTGTGTGTGTCTGTGTGTGCACATGTTTCTCCTCAGAGCCTCTGGCTTTTATGAGACCCTCACAGAGAGGGTGGCTGAATTCGGCTTTTGTGGTGAGCATCATCCAGGGACTTGCTTGGAGTCCTGGCTCTGCTGCTCCTAGGCAGTGTGGCTTTTAGCAGCTCCATCTTTCTGAACCTCAGGACCTAGTTTCTATTTCTCCTAGGATTGTTAAAAAGCCCGAACAAAAGCACTTTTGAATTGTAAAGTGTCATATAAATTACAGTTGTGGCACTGATGTGGTGAGGAAACTACGGCCAGCAGAAGTGGTTGAGTGATCTGCTCAGTGACCGTTACCAGTGGTCCCAGAGCCCTGACACCCCCTCTCCCCAGGCCTTCTCAATACACTGTTTCCTCAAAATAAGGCCGTGGCTTTTCCTGATAACAGAATGACCCAGTGCAAAAACCATTCAACAGGGAAAAACTGACCTTTTCAACAAATGGTGCTGGGACAACTAGATATCCATCTGCAGAAAATGAAGTTGGACCCCTAACCATACACAGAATTTAACTCAAAATGGATCATAGAATTAAATGCATGAGACAAAACTATAAAACTCTTGGAATATAACATTAGGAGTAAATCTTCATGATCTTGGTTTAAGTAAGGTGTTCTTAGATATAGCATTGAAAGCACACACAACAAAATAAAAAGTAGATAAATGGGACTTCTGTGCTTCATAAGACACCAGTAAGAAAGTGAAAAGACATTAGCCCAGCACTGTACCATGTGCCTGTATTCCCAGCTATTCAGCAAGAGGCTGAGGTAGGAGGATCACTTAAGCAGGG